GGGAAGGTGGAGACGGCCCAGAGCAGCCGTGGGAATCCCCAGCCATGCCAGGAGTGGCTTCATCCTGTTCTCGCCAGGCTGATCCGTGCGGGCAGCATCTGGAGCATGGGAGCCAGGGCACCGATGACGGCACCCATGACAGCAACGCTTACATAGGGCTTTCAATGCTGGCAGCGACGCCCCAAGGGAGCTGCTGTTATTGTCTCCCCTGTACGGTTGAGAAAACCGAGACAGGCAGAGGTTAGGTAACCCGTTGAGGGTCACACAGCTAGTAAGTGTCCGAGGCTGGATTTCACTCGGGTTTCCTGACTCCAGGCCCGTACTGTGTCCCTGGGGCTTTAGGTCGCCTCTAAAGTGTTTCCTGTATATAGTAACAGGCTGATCCCCCCCCTGCTGGTGGACTGCTCGGCCCATATAATCAGCTTGTAGACTTAGCTCTGGGGCAGCCGAAAGAGTCTGAAGTGGTATCAGGAAGACCTGGGGTCAGTTCCCATCGCAGCCCTTTGTTAGTTGTGGTAGCCGGGCCAGTCACCCTCTCCTCTGCGGAGCAGACATGCTAATTGTAACAGAACCTGCTTCCAAGACCCAGTGGAAGCACAAGAACTAAGCTTAACTGCTCTCTGGGTGCTCCTCTGAACGGCAGGGTCCCTGCTGGATCTCTCCTTTCCCAGGGGATCTGCGTACAAGCCCAGCTGGCTGGCGTGGGACAGCAGGGTGAGGGGCCAGGGGCACCACGGCCCAGCTGACCCGCCGGAGGCTGTTTGTGGGAACTTACAGCTCCCGGGGAGTCTTGTTGCCGTCATGGGGCTGATGAGTGGGTGAGCTTCTTCAGTAGCTTGGTCCTGTCCTGGCTGCTAAGAAGAAGGTGGTTATTAAAACCCCCAGGCCTTGTGGCAGTTGTTTTTTTCCAGGAACTCCTGTTGAGTCAGGTCTTTCACAGTCTGTACTTATTGTTGAGTGTTTGAATCAGACTGCAGGACTTTGGAGGTGTTCCTGAGTGTAAGCTCCTGGAGGTAGGGAGCCTTGCCTGCCTCTTCCGGGAGTTTGTATCCCTATTACTTAACACAGCGCTAGGTGTGGAGTAAAGACTTTCGCTGTCTGTCTCTCTGCCATGCTAAGCATTCTTTATTTCAGCCCATATTTTGCAGCTTGTTGAAATAGTTTTTATTTATTCAGTTCTTATTATACACATATACATTGGGCTGCTATATTTTTATCTAAATTGTTGATAAAGTTATTGAATAAGACAGAGTCAATTAGTTTCAGAGCCTCCACTTTGCAGACTATAAACGTAATTTGAGTGGTCTGTCAATTTAATGACCATCACTGGTCTAAAATTATCTCTTAATTGCAGCTGATTTTTTCAAAATCAGTTTATCCTGTCCACTTGAGAATCTTCTTGGCTTTTTTCTATCATAATTATTTTCATTTTTACAGCATTATGGATCCAAGCTTATTAAAAGAACGGGAGCTCTTCAAAAAACGAGCTCTCTCCAATCCATCGGTAGAAAAACGTCCAGCGCTTTCTGAGTCGTCCTCGTCATCCAAGAAGAAGAAAGCCAAGGCTGAGCAGGGAGGATCATCGGGCTCAAAGCAAAATTCAGGTTGGTGAAAATGACTGCTCTGGGGCCTGCCAGGGTGTGAGGACCTGCCTTTCAGAACTAAGATGTGATGGGTTGTCACCTAAAATGGAAGCCGGGCTCAGTGATGCACTTATCCGAAATGACTGAGCTGTCAGAACAAAGCCGAGATGGCCCCCTGGGCAATACCAGAGCCCTTCAGACTCAAACAGTGGGTTTGGGAGCGTGGATGGTTTTTGTCGAAGGAGATCTGAGTCTGGGTGGTTAACAGTTAATGCGCCCTCTGGGATTCCCCACTCTTCCCCTCTTCCCCTGGGGTTCCTGTTGACTGTGGTGGCCTCAGACTTAAGAGCCTTGGAGGCCTGGTGTTTGTCCTGAGACACTAGAGGAGAGGAGGGCCACGACTGGTCATTACACTTGGAGCCCGAGTGATCCTTTCCGTTTGCCATGTTGGATTCGGCTGTATGTGGTTTTCTGGTTCCTGGGCAGCTCCCTCTGAGTCAGTTCATGGAAATGCTTGAAGCTTCCTGCAGTGACTTCATCGCTGTCATTTCTTAGGTGAGGTACCCCACCGTCCTGTTCACGCCCCACGTTTTGGGTAGCCGCTACCCGTGCCGTGGGTGTCGTCTTGGCCCCCACCAAATATGCTGCTGTGAAATTGGGGGCATCCATGGGTCCTTCCTTCTGACTTAGGCCCCCTGGGGATCCAGACCCCCATTTTCAAGCTGCAGATGTGCGTGTTGGAGCAACTTTTTACCTCGGCACCTTTTAGGATCCTTAGAAAGATAGCTGACTCGTGATTTCCTGAGCTAATAGAAGCAGCAGTGATTAGTTTTTGAAAAAGTGGATCATTGTTTCTCCTTCAACTTGAAGGATCCTTGTTCAGGGCTGACAGGGGCAGGGGCCATGAGGAGAAGGAAAAGGGTCCTTCTGGGCCTGGGAAGTTAGTGGGTCAGTTCCTTTATTGGTAAGTCGAGGGAGCAATTAGAAATGGCTGTCTGCTCCACATGTACAAAAATATTTATATCAACTCTTTCTGTGGTAGAAAAGAATTGGAAAATGAGTGGATGCCCATCAATTGGGAAATGGCTGAACAAGTTGTGGTATATGAATGTAATAGACTACTATTGTGCTATAAGAGATGATGAGCATTTGGACTTCAGAAAAACCTGGAAAGACTCGTACGGTGTGATGCTGAGTGAAGTGAGCACAACCGGGAGAACATTGTACACAGTGACAGCCACGTTGTGTGATGACTAACATTGATAATTAACCCTTCTCAGCAATGCCAGGATCTAAGACATCTCTAAAAGTCTCATGGTGGAAAATGTCGTCCACATCCAGAGAAAGAACTGTGGAGTCTGAATGCAGGTGGAAGCAGACTATTTTCCCTCTTCTTTTGTTGCTTTGTTTCCTCTTTCTTGTGATTCCTCCTGTTGGTTCTAATTCTTGTTTACAACATGACTAATGTGAAGATATGTTTAATAGGAATGTATACATAGAACTGTATCAGATTGTACGCCCTTTTGGGGAGGGGGAGAAAATTTAAAACTCAAAAGCATATGGAAGTGACTGTTTAAAACTAAAAATAAATTTTAAAAAATAATAATAAAAAAATTTTAAAAAAGAAATAGCTGTCCAGGAATTTGAGTAGACCTCTTCACCCCATTTAAAAGTTGTTTTCATTTCAGATTTAGCAGACAGTAACATATCAGTGAGTAAAGACCAGAAAGGAGGAGGAGGATCTATGAAACCATGACGTGCTATCATGAATGTTTTTTTTAGGTTCTCCAGGTTGCTTGTCTGTGCCCCTTCTGAGCTGTCCTCTGCTGCACTCTTCTGCAGTCTGTTTTCTCCTGTTTCATTGCTCCTGGTCCATTTCTCAGCCATCTTTGGAAAATGATTGACGGAAATATTAGAAATTTGCCCTATTTGTTTTGCTATAATTCCCCAAGGCCTTGGTGCATTCCCATTTGCTCCAGCATGTCAAAGATCAAAATGGTGTCTGTCCAGTAGGGAGCAAAGACGTCGTAATTTCATTGAGAAAGAATAAACATTCCTGGTTCTAAAGTATTCCCAATACTTATTTTTTGAGTTTCTTAAATTATTTTCTCTGCATCATTCTATATTGCGATTAAAATAAATCAGAAATAAAGATTTCTAGTGCCTTTCTTCCTCAAAAGGAATGCCAAAAGAAAAAGATAACTCTCATCGGTCAGTAGGCATTGATTAAGCACCTACTATGTTCTGGGTTCTGGGCTTACAGAGAAAAAGGTCTAGCAATCCCTGTTCTCAGGGAGTTGACGTCATATGGCATTATATGGGGGTGGGGAGGGGAATGTGACATGGAGTTACCACAGTATTTTAAAAGCGAGTTCATGGACCCCAGCTTAAGAACCCCACCTAGTATTTCATCATGTTGACTATTCAGGGGGAAATGTGTAATCACGGCTGACGTTGACGTAGCATTTGAAAATCTACCGGGCTCCCATTTTCTTCTCGGAGACTCTCAGCGACTCCGTGAGGTGGCTAGGGTAGCTATTAATGTCCTCATTTACACAGGAGGGAAACCACATTCACATAGCTGGCAAGAGTCCTGCCCTGGAGTCCAGGTGTCCAGCCTCTCCATAATGAAAAGGAAGAAATCTGACTTGGTTGCATAATTCCAACCTTGTGGTGCAGTTTCCTGTGTGATAGCTCTGAACGTAGGTCCTTACTAGTGAACCCTCTCTTGGCCTGCTGGGATTTCTGGGGTCTGTGAAAGATGGAGGCTCGGCCCAGTAAGGAGCAGGAGAAGCAGGTGCTTTTATGCCCTACCGGGCTGCCGTCGGTGGCTTAGGAAGAACCTTGAACTTGGAGTCAGGAGCCTTGACTTTGCCCCACCCTTGGGTGGGCGGCTGGCCCTGGGCCAGTCGCCTGATCTTCCCCCATCTCCACTTCTCCGTAAGAGGAGTAGAGTATGTTTACTTCTTTCTGTTGAGAGGAAAGCGCTGTGGCTACCGTAAGGTACAGCTGTAGAAATGGGCGCTATCAGACATTGATTAAAACACCTGCTGTGTGCCAGATACCGTGCTAAGCATTGGCGAAACAGAAAGGCAGAAGACAGCCCCTGTCCTCAAGGAACTTACAAATCTAACGGAGGTGACCACATGCAAACAGACACGTCCGAAGCAGGCTATCCCCAGATGCCTGGGAAATCATCGCTAGGATTAAGGGTATTACTGTTAGGTCTGAAAAGGCCGTGGGGGGCAGTGGAAAAGCCCGGACTAGAACTCCGCAGGCTGAGATTCCCGGTGATTTTGCCCAAATCACCTTCTCTTCCTCCTCTGCAGAATGAGGGCCTTGGTTGGCCATTTCACAAGGTTGCCTGCATCGGCAGTGTCCCTCTCCTAGGTCTTCTTGTCCCTCCCTCTGTGGCTCCCCAGGACTGCATGCAGTGCTCTTCGGCTCCCATTCCAGCGTGGAATCATGGTTCGAGAGCAGGAAGAGGCCGCGGTTGGCAGGTGGGGAAGTGAGAATGCCCGCCCAAGGTCCCCGCGGCAGAGGCCGAGGCAGGGTGTGAACAGGGCCTTCGTCTTCAGTGCCGGGCTCTGTGCGCTGTGCTTAGTCTTCGGTTAATCACAGGAGATTGGAAAATGTGATGGGTTTTGTGATGTTTGGACCTTGTACAATGTGGGCCCTGTGCTGGTGGGCACTCAGACAGTCACAACCTTGGGACTTGTTAGTGGGCTGGAGGATCAGGTTCATCCCCCTTCGAATGCCTGGCTCGGGGGGCCCTTCCAGGCCCCTGGGACTTAGGACTCTCTGCTCCTGCCTTGCCGTCACCTCGTGTCTGCTTTGTCCTCACCCACCCGTGGACGTGTGGGATCCTCGTGGACGGCATCGGCCCCTTTAGGGCAGGAAGCGTTCTGCTCTGCTCTTTGCATCCTCTGCACCTCGTGTAGGGCCTGGTTTGGAGTAGGTGCCTAGTAAAAGTTTGTCAGATGGAGACACTGACTTCATAAGCAAGCATTTACTAAGCACCTGCTGTGTGCCAAGCACTGTACCAATCACCAGGGATACAGCTGCAGAGTGTGCAAGAGTCCCTAAGGGCTTTGGAGTGTCTGTGAGGACACTTGGAAGGGGGTGCCCAGCTCTGTGTGTGTGTGTGTGTGTGTGTGTGTGTGCGCGCATCTACTTACAGAATGGCGATGGGAACCTGAGGTGGGGTCTGACGCCCTGTTTGCCTTCTAGTCTGAACCTGAACATCATTATGGAAATATTCTTTCTGATTCATTTGAGAAAGTCTTTAGTTGCTTCAAAGTCAGAAAAAGAGTTTGAATTAGTTAGTTTTCAGTTCCTACTTTAGAATGGCGCCCATTTCCAGGATTGTTTTCAGAGAAATAGAAATGTTAATCCTGAATATGGCAGTGGGAAGTTTCCTCAATCAATCAGTAAACATTTAAGCACCTACTAAGGTACTGTGTAAGTCTCTCTTTGTGGAACTCGAGGCAGGTGTGGCAGCTTCTACTTGCGAGAGGCCTTCCTCACTGGACCCTTACTGTCTAGTAGACCCTAGGGCTGGGCACTGGGTTGGGGGGTGGGGAAGCAGGGAAGGAGTGGCTATTTTTCTGACAGCTGGACAGAGGTCTGCCTGCTTGGAAATGCAGAGGCTTTTGGCAGCCTTGGTTTAGGGGTTCACCTCACTCCAGGGGCCCTGCAGGGGTGGGGGTCTGCTCTTCCTGGCACTGGCAGAGTAGGGAGCAGATTCTTCACCCAAGAGATAGCCGGCCACAGTAATGGTGCAGCCTCACCTTAGACTGAAGCACTAGCTCTTCAGGTTGGCTGAGGACTTCACAAAGAGGATCCCTCTCAGAAGGGAGGGTCTGTTAGCAGCCCCATTTTACCAATAGGGTAATCGAGGCAGGCAAAGGTTCACACTGTGAGTATCTGTCTGGTGCTGGATTTGAACTCAGCTCTTCCTGACTCCAAGTCTTGCTCTGGGCCACCTCGTTGCTACTCTGTAATGCTTTTGCTTGATGTGA